TTCACTGTTCATCAGCTGACTTTTACTCTATTGTGTCAGATATTTGAGCTTCAGTTTTCCAGTAAATGTTGAGGTGTGATGTGTTTAACAACCACATGTAGCACAATGTGGCTCACAGTGGAAACCGATGACAAACTAGGATCCAGGATCTGATGATGTTTGTGACATTCTCTCCTTTGACTTGTTCCCCAACACCATGACTGTGCAGTCACACTGACCCTCATCACAACATGCATTTCCTGTATTTATTATCGAGAGCTAGCACTAAATGTCCAAATATGTAATTTCCACATTTCCCCATCAGCTGTATGTGATTTGTGAAAAAATAGGGTTTCGAAATTCCAGTTCAGTGTTGGAGAAGTCAGTCCTGTGATGCTGGTTTCAATAATAGCTGTCCCCTGAAGCTCCCCACTCTATGTCACATGGATGAAATATTGGTACGTGACCCACATTCTTATCACAACAACACTAGACATTCCTTTTATTTTGTCAGTGGCTCAGGATGGGAAAGTAGAAGCCAAGGGAAGAAATCAGGCCGTAGATAATCACCCGTGAAGTCAACGGAGAATGGAAACAGCTCTCCTGTTTTCACATCAAGAGCTTTTCCTTGCCTCAAGTGCAGAATTGGCACTAACCGTGTCAATGGGCCTGGTTGTCAGTATGTAAATGTTAGAGCTGTTCCTGGAGATGAAAAGTTGGCCGATTGTTATCTTTCCGGCAGACGTCATAAAATAAAGACTAAGGATAATGTATATGAGCAATTGTGGATGCAATAGATGACTGTTGAAAATCAATATTTTCAAGTTGTGATTTGGTGAAAAGTCTCAATTCTTACCCGGAACAGCTGTGATTGCGACATTATTGAGGATAATGTTCTGGGTGTGAAAGGTTAAAGTTAATGTCTCTTTGTTCTTCTATTGACACTTCAAAGAGGACAGCCATGACACAGATGGTACTGGCAGCCATAAATAGACTGCATGTGATAGGAATGGAGGAATGCCAGATTTTTGTCTTTTGTACTTATGAAGTGCCACGTAACTGGCTCATTGCCATAAAAAGGCTCTGTCTGAAAATGGGTTTAGTAAAAACAAACATGCAGACAGATAAGGTGGAGCACACGTTTGGTACATGACCAGAAATAAGTTTTCTGAACATTAAAGATTCTATGTATATTCCAATTTTGTCGAATCTGTTTTTCTGTATTTTATAGAATTATATTTTTTTCCTTTTTTTTTTTAATTCTTCACTTTTTACATGTCACAGCATAACAATGTAATAAAAGTGAATAATGACTTAGTTAATAACAAGTTATCTTCCCTGTAAATTTACTGAAGTACTCAGTGGAGTTGCACAATCAGGCTGAAGATTAGTATCTGTGAACAAAATGTTCTTCAGGGAACTCCTGGCGTCACTCCACATACCAACAGTAAAATGTTTGTAGTCAACATGACGCACACACACACACACACACATATATAATATACAGATACCAATTGCGAAAAAAAGTGAGGTCACTCAGGGTTTTGTTTCTTGATTTTAACTCTCAACTTCCCATAATTCACAGATACACACAAATAACAGCATTGAAAGCAACACAATAAGGAGAAACATGAGTGTGTTTGTGAGATAGAAGGAGTGAAAGAGACAGTTACCAGGAAATAATTAGTTGATTATTGATGATCACACATAAGTGATCTTACACAACCAACAAGGAAGTTTTACGGTAACAGGCCTTCAGCTGTGAGGAGCGATAGCATGTAGCAGACCAGTGCTGGCATTAAAACAAGGAAGATATGCGGAATTGGACTCAGTGATAAACCTTACTGTCCAGTCATAGTGAATTTCCACAGTAGTTGATTTCAATCATACAGTATTTTGTATGTCTCACGGCAGCTGCTCCGTTTCTGCTATAAACCCTTGATTTCATGTAATATCATATGAAGGTTTCAGTTAAAAAGAAAGAAAATGTTTTAGTCCATGCAGCCATGGTAAATAAAACAACTTTGTTTATGATGTTGACTTAACCTGAATTCAGGACTCACTATATTCAGCTGTGTAAACAAAATGCGGCGCCTTTGTAATTGCCAGCACTGCAAAAAATCTCACAGAATTGCCACAACTTGCAAAGCTTTTTAAAGATCCCCCTGTTCAGTGCAATTCACCAAGCAGCTCCAAAATATTTTGTTGAATAACATTTTTCTGCTTTTCCCTCCTGTTTCCAGTCGAGAAAAGAAAGGATTGGCCTTTTTCCCCCCCTCTCGTACCCAGTGGGTTTACTGGAACCATGAGAGTAAATTTCTGAGTCAGTGTGGGAAAACTTAAACAGCTGCCTTTTCCACTAAACACTGGTTTAAACCAACAAGCTATCATGCAAAGGCTTCATTTTACAGGCTCCGAATTTGTCAACTTTGCATGTGAATTTAAACTGTATTTATGTTTTCATGACTCTGTAGGAGAGGTTACACTGAGATGAGCCTGCATTCTCATTTGAGAAACATAAAAAAACATCAAATCAAGTGTTTCTTGATTTACAATTTAGATTCTTTAAACCTACCAGAAATAAAAAAAACACAGAAAAGCACATACGTAGAGACTACAGAGCCAAATCTGTTGCTGCCAAGACTCACACCCTGAGCCTCAGACGTTTGGCTGGAGTCCTTTGGTAGAAACCCCTCTCTGCTCCAGCTCACTCGGTTTGCTTCGCCTGACCGACCATTTGAGTGTTGACCTCTGGTTAAGCACACACTGTCTTTGGTTTATTTATTTTACTTTATTTTATTATCACAAGTCTTCCAGGGAGAGGTCTAATTTTTTTTCAGTGTTTTCCTCTTTGCTGTACTCAAGTTCCACTTTATCATGTGAAATTGACGTGAGAAATTACAGTAGATGTGCTAATAAACTAAGTCTGCATTCTGTCATTATGTGCATAATGGTTTCCATGGAAACCGGGTGAACTAAAATAATATCGTCTGGGTTTTTTTTTTTTTTTCTTTTCTAGGTTTCTGCTCCTTTTCCTTCCATTGACTCTTGTTGGGATCCCAGGGGGACTTTGGATGCTGAATTCATGCCTCACAGTGATGACACAATAGATTTTCTGGAAACAAGTGGACTTTTAAGAGGCTGTTGTAGTGATTTCCCTCCCCCACCCCTCTATCCTAACGATGGCCTGAATCAGACAACACCTGACTCACCTCAGTGGACACAGCTGGCTTTTACCAAAGACCATCCGACTCTGTGGCGTCAATCCTTAGCCCGCACACCCCTCCCTGTGTCCTGGTCTGGTGAAACGCCAAAGCATATGCTGTGTATCTTTTTGTTTCTGAGCCCAGGACCAGTCTGGGAGAAGTTTGAGAGCTGTTTTTTTTTTTTTTCTGGCAGCAGCACTTTAAAACCCCTATCGACATGAACCTATTGACTGGAGTTAATCTACAACACAATAACCACCTGAGGCTTGAGCTGGTCATGGCTGAGTCAGCAGGGAGTGAGTTGCTGGGATGGTATGAACACTCAATCAGTCACACCCATGTTGCCAAAGATTAGACGATGATGTTAACACACATTACCTGCATGTAGACAGCAAAGGAACTGCAAAGAAGAATGAGATTAAACTCAAAATATCAAACCCACAAACCTGTTTGGACAAATAATAGTTTTATCTATTTGTTTTCCTGTTTGACCTGGTAAAGGTGTAAACCAATTTAAAAAAACATATTTTAAATGTTAATCAAAAGTACAGTAACCTTTTGTGTAAAGACATATTCAAAATTGTTACCTCCACCAAGGAGACACAAGAACATATTTCCACAAACTTGGTGAAAGGATGCTGTATTTTTCAGGGAAGATCCCATCAGATTTTGGTGTGGTTCCAGATTAGGGGCCAGGTCTAGGATTTATTTTTTGCACTTTCTTTAACATTGTGAGATAAGGTGTATTTGAACATTTTCTCCATTTTCCAGAGAATAATTCATGGATCTTGATGAAAAAAAAAATCAATTGGCACGTTTATCCTTGAGCTGTATTTTACTATAACCTATTGTCATGGGATCTGTTTATACACCAGCCTGCACTTATATTATTTTCTTATAAAAACATAAACATCTGTTTACAACTACTTTACATTATGTTTCAGTAAATATGTATAAACTGAGACTTTTAAGACTTTATTAATAGAAGCTGGAGATAAACTGCTTTGTTTTCACTGTTTTGTTAAATTGTAAAAATGTTGCTCTTGTCTGACATTTTCTTTTCATTTTACCACATGCAACTTATTCGTGTCTAATAAAGAACATATTAATAAAAATAAACATACAAATTAAACAAACATGATACATTTATTCACAAAATAAGAAAAAGTCTGCAATCAAAGTTTAGGTTAGATTTTATGAAATATTGGGGAACTTCACTCATAAACGCCTCAAGGGAAGCATATAAACAGTAACCCGTTGCCCTTAGATACCAGCTGCTCTCATAACAAGTTCCTCAAAATCTGGCGCCCCCTATAGGCGGAACCGGTGCTCAGTGTTTAATGTGAATTTCTCAGAAATCCGATTACACAAACCACCTCGGCTGTAAAGGCTGAATCATTAACTCACACTCTGAAGTGTAACCTTTCAGGGAAGGAAACGAAAATGTGACACAGAAGAAATTTTGAGAAATGAAGAGAGAAAAAAAAACATATTATCATGTTGTTCTAAAAAAAAAAAAAAAATCTCAAAAAGGTTAAAATCTGAATTTAATACAAATAAAAGAGAAGTGTATAAAAAAACAGGTAGATGACTATCGATTGGAATTCCTCATAAACTTCCTTTTAGAGGAACATATGAGGGGGTGGGGGAGGGGGGGTGTTCACTTCTCATAGCAGGAATCCTTTGAATAAAATAAATAAGATCGTTGCTTCCTGACAATGTGCCAAGAGAGAGAGAGCGAAAGAGAGAGAGAGGCTTACTGGAAGGAGGAGGAGTCACCTCACACCGCTCCCCCCACTGCTCCATTTAAAAAGCCTGATCTGAGCAAGAGGAACACACAGGCTGTCACACACACTCCTCCACACACACACACAGAGGAGACAAGTCTGAAGAGACTAACTTTAAAACTACTCCTGACAGATCCAGGTCAAACTGTGGACGGCCTTCTCCCTCCTGCGCATTTGGATTTATTACACGAGCCACTTCGGAGAAACACTGAAGGTAATAATGAAGGCTTTTTTAAAATTTATTTTTTTATACAAGCTCTTACTTTCTTATAATAAGCAGTTAACGTTTACGCAAAAAGTGTTTAACGTTTGTCTAAAAGTTGGGTAGAGTTTTTGTTTAGTGGAGGTGAATGTTCCGCGTAAATTGCGCAATCGGGATTTACGTAGTTTTTACTGGAATTGACTGAGTCCCGAGGGCAGATTACACTAAGAAAGTTTCCCCGAAAACGACTGGAAGTTCATTGAATGGAGGAAATGTAGTTAAACACGTGGACAACACTTCAGTAGAAGAGCTAAACAAACCTGCTCTTTGTTTTTGGTCTATAGATGATTTAAAAAAAAAAGAAAAGAAAAAGAAAAACTCATTCCGCTGTGGGGCAGTTTCCCACTCATCACAAATTTAAAGGCACAACTTCCACATCTGGAAAAAAAGTTTTCCGCAGAGAACATTAAAGCTCAGCATTAGCAGATCAGTCATTTTATCAGTGTGTGTTAAAACTTTAAACCTGGATTTTAATCTCTTCCTTTCCTTCTCATCAGGTGTTTTTCTCCAGACAATCAAAGAGCTGACCTCTTTGTGCCCTCCCAGACAACCCTCTGAACCCCTGTTCGTCTCCACCTCTTCTTCATCTTGTCTGTGTGGCGCCCGGTGTTCCCCAGGCTACCTAGAGAGTGGGCAAAGCGCCATGGTAACTTACAGCAAGTTTGACTCCGCAATGAGCAGCAGCCTCTTGGACTCCAACATGCGGCTGCCTTACCATTTCAAGACGCTCACCTCTAAGGCGCAGTATCAGATGGTCCTCACCACGATCCACAAGCTCCAGGAGAGCGGCTTCTACTGGGGCACCATCACTGGGAAGGAGGCCAATGCCATGCTGGTGGCTGAGGCCACCGGCACCTTCCTCATCCGGGACAGCTCTGACAACAGGCACCTGTTCACGCTCGTCGTCAAAACAGCATCGGGCACCAAGAACCTGCGCATCCAATGCGACGCAGCTTCTTTTCACCTGCAAACAGACCCTAAGAACCTTCAGTCTGCTCCCCGCTTTGACTGTGTACTTAAGCTGGTTCATCACTACATGCCTCAGAGCAAGGGGAACACACACAGTGGGAATATGTCCTACATTTACTCTGGAGGAGAGAAGATCCCTCTGGAGCTCATCAGACCTCTGTCCTGCAGCTTGTCCACCTTGCAGCACCTGTGCAGGAAAACGGTCAATGGACATTTGGACATTTCGTCTAAAAGAGACCAACTTCCTCACCCTCTGAAGGAGTTCCTCCAGGAGTATGATGCTCCGATCTAGAGGAGTTAGACTGATGCTCTTGAAGGAGCAGAAGAGTGTCACAAAGAAATATGGGATGGTTTCAGTGCAGCTACGTTTGACGACATGTGAGGAGTAAAGATTAAGCAGAGACAGGAGAGTCAGGCCCTGGACTGAGCTTGTGAGAAGGAACAGTTTTGTTCTAAAAAATGTTTGGGCATCTGTCTCTTAATGTTCTCATTTAGGAAGAAATACTGGACTGATGAGGACTAATGCACAAAGAGGCCTCAGAAAAATATCTCTTGAAATAAGAGATGACACCGTTGGCCTCCTCTGCCCCTCTGCCATCTGATGACGTTCAACTTACTGAAAACTGAAGTGAGGATCACAGTCAGCCGTCTCCAGTCTGATGACACACAGGTTCCGTGTCCTGCTGCTGCTGCTGCTGCTGCTGCTAACTATTGTGCTGTGAGGCTGTCGAGCTCATGCACATCAGCCTCAGAAAACCATCCATCCATAAAAGCTGGACCGGCTTTTATGATCAGACTTTTTTCTTAAGAGGTTCTATTTGACCATAAAATGTGGAAAGAATATATATTTTTGATATTCTGTTTAAAGGGAAGGTTTATGCCAGATTTGCCTAAAACCTGACAACAGTTTGTTGGAACACGACTGAATTTAAACTGAGAGAGGAGTACCACTGCTGAGCTATTATAACTAAAATCAGAAGTATGTGTGAAAACCAGTGGCGAGGAAATACACACCACAAACCTGTGGCACAGACAGGATTGTCACTTACATGCAAATGAATGTAGGAAACGTGGCATCTAAAACGTATCTTGTCCTTAAAACAATGTTTACATGAGTGGAGGTGAAGCTTTTATCATGCTGTCTTTTGTAAAGATGAACCCTTGCTGGCCGAAACCACTGGCTGAGGGTGCTTGTAGATATTTGAGAAGTTTTGACGAAACGAGCAGACTGATAAGATTTTGCACTTATTTATGTTTGTAAGAAGCGTTTGTTAATTTATAATAAAGAGCACTATTTTTCTATGAAATGAGATGTCGTTTTCTGATTCTGCTTTGTGAATAACTGTGTTTCCATACAGGTGGAGTGGACTGACTCATACAGTGTTTCTTTCTCTTTTCTTTTAAGGGTTTTACATCACTAACACCGAAACATTACATATTATACATCCCATTCGGCTTAACTTGCCGCTGGGGTCAGAGACCACAAGTTCACGGTATTTCATGATTTCCTCAGAAACTTTAATGGGCACCAGTCGTTGCCTTGAACCCACATGGGAAAACATTGCTCTACATGATGCTGCATTTTTAAAGATACACTGTACACAAGCAGCTTTCAATGAGTTATCACCACATTTCCCTCTTAGAGATTGGCTTCCTGTAAAACTGCACATGCTCAGCTTCACCTTTAAACAGAATCTGATAGGAGTGGCCACTTCAGACAAAATACAGCAGAACTGTGAGGTAATGGCATGAGGGAATTCCTTTGTTCTGTTGTGACAATGTTTCTTTGTGGTTGTTAGCGTGACCTAACATGCTCTCACATGCACATTCATACTGATGCAGCCGTCTGCCTGTAACATAAGTGAATTTTTACGAGCACACGTGTTCTCAGAAATATTCCCCAACCTGCACTTGAACACACACTCAGGTGAAAAAAATGCACCAGTACCACAGCACAGAGGACTTCAGAGACATGTTGTATTTACCGGAACACATGATGCACCATGTCCGGTAATCCTGTCTTTGTACCTGCAGGTTTGATGGTCAGCCAACAGAAAAATGACAGATCTGCAGAACTTTATTTCAAAAATATTGCTAGCACACAAAGCCTCCAACATCTGCCCTGGGAAATACAACAGCAGCAACATCATTGTTAAGATTTTAATTATTATTATAAGGACAACACAACCTGTGCTCGATGGGTATCTTCCCTCTGAAAAGGTGGCCTGGTCAATTTATGTGTATGTAGGAAAGACACCATTTTATTGTGTGTGAAACAGACACTTTTCTTTTGTCAAACTTTATGGCAAGAATCCATTTATTCAGACCTATAATGTTCTTTTACTATCAGCAAGGATTTATGGTCAGTTCTCTATGGGTCAATACTTTAGTACATATTAGATTTGAATGAGGTCAGAGGAAAAGAAAGGAAATGGAAAGGTACCTGGTTCGAATCCCAGTTTGGCCAGGGTCTTTCTGTGTGGATTTTGCATGTTCTCTCCATGTGGGTTTTCTCCAGCTTCCTCTTACCGTCCAAACAAATGCACATAAGTATTAAGTTAATTGGAGACAAAAGAGAAAAAATTATGTGAGACTGAATGCTTGTTTTTCTTCGTATGTTGGCCATGTGATATATTGGCGGCTTGTCCAGGCTGCACAGTGTCTCGCCCAACGTCAACTGGGATTAGATCCAGCTCCCCCCACTATCCTCCATGGATAAGCGGCATAGGTGATCGATGGATGTTTATCTGCCATGCGGACTATTAAATTCATTCATCAATTTATTTATTAACACTTAAAGCTTATTGCATTTGCTTTTTTATTAAGTATAATGTTTGGGGGGTTAGGTGTCAATGTCTGTATCCTGTGTCTTTGTCTTGTTGTATTTGTCCTTAACCAAATTGCCTTCAGGATTGATAAAGTAGTATTATATTGTTTTGTACAAGGATTAAACAATTCTCGATCTATAAATTGTGATTATCAATCAATGACTTTCCTGGATGTTCTGTAGCTTCTTTATTGGCAGCCCTGTGAAAACATGGATCCCTCATGTCTGCTGCACATATACAGTATCATTAAGAGAGACCAGGAATACATGCACACTTAACTGCTAAAATGATGGATGAACAGGAATCTGCAATAACCTCCATATCCAACGTGGTTACGGGAAGGCGCTCTGGCGCTACCTGCTCTAGCAGCACTTTAGTGTTTCCTCTCAGTGCAGAGGGTTCATTGAGATAAAGGGTCTCCGAGGTGATTTGCACTCAGAGTGCTTCAGAAGAATGTTCATTTTTTTCTTGGAATGTGCTCATGTGAAATACATGTCCTTTCTGAGTAAAACAAAATATTTCAGTTAACCCTTACTCAGAAGTGATGGGTCAGATAATGAATCAATTTTCTGGCTGAATTTATTTTAAAGAGGTGAGTGCAGGAGGAGGCAGGGGACTATTAAATACTCTCTTTGTGTGGGATAATACCAAATAAGTCTGTGGCTGCTGCCAAATTGCTGAGCTTAAAAATATCATCCCATCATCTTGTTTCCCAGTAAGTCTGAGCCACAGTGCAGCAGATAGATGGTGTGTATACGACTCTGCATAGTTTATTATATGGTGAGTGTTTTATGTGATTGTCTGTGATCAATTGAGGGTTTATGTGAAGTGTAAATTTTCCTAAATAAATCTAAGCCTTTTGAACAGTTTGGAACATCTGTCAGTGCTTTATGTTTCTTTATCAGGTATTTAATGAGGAGTCTGAGGAACCTTTATAAAGGCTTTACACACTAAAACACCTCCAAGGCCTCAAAAACATCTGAAACCAATCTGACCACCAGCAGAAGTCTGTTAAACGTGTACTGTGTTTTGCTCTGGAGAAATTCTCTGGTATTCTCATAGCCACACACATCTCCGGAAGCTGTGCATCAGGGTTTTCTCAGGAAGATCGTTGTTAATCCTCCCTAGCTTTTTTCAAAACAGTTGATGCAGAACACACAATAATGAAGGGGGAGGACAATGTGCGTATAACATGTGATCTCTTAAAACACTTATTCAAAGACTTTTAATGTTTAACAAAATACAATAAAATCTCAATGGATAAGCAGTATTGATATGGATCGACTGATAAATACTAGCCAAATAGTGCACTTTTTTTTGGTAGCATTATTATTGCTTATGACTAATATGCCATGTAGATGTCTTTATACAATTTAAATGTGAAAGCCTCTGAGCTATGTAGGCATAATACATTTTTCATTTCTTCATGAAACCAATGATTACAAGGGAAAACATTCGGTGGTCAAGTGTGAAGTTTCTTGAAAATAGCACCACAAATAACTGTCTGACGTTTCAAGTGAAAAATGGTTGACTATTCAAGACTGGAATAGCACTCATTAGAGAGCAAACATCTGCCAAGGCCCAACAGTCTCATAAAATTCAGTCAAGCTGCATTGAACATCAGACATTCATAGATAACAGTTTCCTATTTATTCCATCAAGATCCTTGAATTATTCTCTGGGGAAAACTGTGAAAATGTTGAAAAAAATGTCTGTTAATGTTAAAGAGTGAAAAAATCCAGTCCAATGGATTCTTCTCTGACCCATAACACATCCTTCCACCAAGTTTCACGGAAATTTGTTCTGTTGATTTTGAGTAATCTTGCTTATAAACAAACAAACCAACATCCAAAAAATGAACAGGGGTACACTTTATAATTTTGTTTACTTTATATGTTGTAATACTTAATGCTACTGGTCAATGCCAGAATATCTGGAACTGTCATTTCTGGAACTTACGGAATAAGTATGTTGAATGATTTATGTTGTATGTTGCCGTCTGGTGATTCTTCAAACTATTACTTAGAACCAACCAATGCGAAAACAATTGGAGGGGTTACAGAAGCTAAACAATTTACAGCAAGTCAACAAAATACAGTTGTTGTTATATAGAGAGAGCAGGATCATACATTTTTCAGAGTATCTTCTCTTAGACTGATATTTTGTTGTTCTAATTTTAAAGCATTTATTACGCACTCACTTTTTGCTGTGGTTAAACTTACTCTGACATAGAGAGCTGCGTAAGGTATCGTAATAATCCTGTGCAGAGGCGAAGGTCTGTTTGTGTTAGTTTTTCCTCATTTTCTCCCTTTGCCTTCAGCACGTGCGTACCCAGCAAAAGCCGACAGCCTCATTGGTGCTTTCAGAGCACATGGAGAGACGTCAAGCGCCCGATTCCCACTCATCTTTCCAGTATCTCAGTCTGTTTACAATTCCACAACTGCTGGTTGCCATGGAGTTATTGTGAGTAATGAGCTCCAGATGCCAGCTGCCAGAGCCAACCAGGGAGAAGCTTTGAGTCACCACAGGCCGCAAGTCCCTCCCACCAAGACTCTTCTCCGGGCATGCTCCTCCTGTTCCTCCTCCTCCTCCTGCAGGCCTCCAGATTTACTGTAAGCACTCCACTCCCTCTGCGCTATGCACAACCTCAGGCTGTAATAATATAAATCTGCATGTCCATCTTCATTGTGTTCATCCAACCTGACTCCTCTGCCACTTCAGCAGGTCTGTGCAGACTTTGAGGTCCTGCCTCAGCTTTGAGGACAAAGCAGGAAACCAGATGAAGCGAGGATAAGAGGGACATTAGAGGAACATTGGAGTGTGATTTTAAGCCACTACCAACAGTACATAGCTATATTTTAGTCTTAGTTCCCAGATATATTTGTGTTTCCTGCATTGAACCCACTTTTCCATGCCACTACAATGATAGTTTTAGGATTACAGCATTCACTTTACGATCCACTTCTCTGTCATATAAGTGTTATAATGCACACCTTTACAATCTAATATAATCCACAGCACCATATCTGCCATATATTCTCCCCCTTTACAGCTTATTATGATGAGTTTTGTGAAGAGGTCCCAAGTTGTGTTTTTATTGCTGAGCTCACAGGGTTGGTGTTGTGCCACATTATATTCAAATGACTTTCTAATATTCTTCTCTGGTCGTTTTGATATGTGGACAAACATAACTGCAAATTAAAACCTGAATAGTAAACATGTATTTTTAACAATACGTCTCTGACCGTGTGAAACAAGGTTATGTTTTAATCCCTGTCTGTTTGGGTGTTGATTCAGGATTTCCATTTTCTTTAATAGTGCAGGGCTTTTTTTTATTTAACATTTTCACCATTTTCCCAGTAAATAAATCCTGGATATTGATGACAAAACAAATCATGCAGGCCTAGGGAACTGATTTCTATAAGTGTGTGAAAGTTTGTGCAGCGTGATTGAATTCA